GAGAGGGGAGGGGGCAATGGTCCCTGAAAGTTTGTGTCCAAGCCACATTTAGTTTTGAATCTCCCCTCCCTGGTGCCATGGAGGCCAGTTCTCTTCAGTGCCTCTTGTTCCTTACAGGTGGTGGTAGTTCTGCAGCAAGTCTTCCAGCTCATACAGAAGGTTCTCAGCAAGTGGCTGAATGATGCCCAGGTGGTGGAGGTAACCAGGCTCCTCCTGTATACTGCCTGCAGCTCTGCCCCTCCTTGCTGCCCTGAACTGGGGACAGCAAAAGACAGATACTAGGTGATGCCCTGTAACAGGGATGTCTTGCTCGGTTCTCCAGACCAGTGCTGTCACCAGCAGCCTCCAGCCATTCTAGTCTGTCTTGTGTGCCTATCAACCCTGATCCTCTCCAGTTACAGAGGCCCTGCCATGAACAGGGAGATGGGGGTCTACTAAACCTTCCCAAAGAGGAGAGCTCTGCTCTGACCTGAAGCTGTGTCATCTGGTGTTTCTCCAGTCCTCTCAGTCCAGTAATGCATATGTGCAGCATCCCACCATCCACATTTCCCTGGCCCTCGGGGAGACTTCCTGCTGCAGTGGGAAGGGTGTTTCCTGGTCTCTGGGAGCATCCTGTGCTGCAAGGCAGAGCACCAGTACCAGAGCAGGTCTGAGCCCTCTGCCTGGCTGGTCCCCATCCCCACTGCCAGCTCTTCCCTCCCCTGGGACCCACCCATCAAGCTCTGTCCCCCAGAAGAGGTTGTCTGAGGCCCATTGTTCAGAGCAGTCCTCCTTCTCCTGCAGTCTGTCTGTGCCATCTTTGAGAAGTCCGTGAAGACCCTCCTGGATGATTTTGCCCCTATGGTGCCTCAGCTGTGCGAGATGCTGGGGCAGATGTACAGCACCATCCCCCAGGCCTCTGCCATCGACCTCACCCGGCAGGTATGGGGCTGTGCTCAGGGCTGGGGCTGCTGCTCCCCAGGGGGCTGGAGATGTACATGGCCAGCACAGCTTGAGTTCTTCTCTGTGTCTTGCAGCTGGTTCACATCTTTGCCCATGAGCCTGCCCACTTCCCTCCCATCAAGGCCCTCTTCTTGCTCGTTACCTCAGTCACGCTGACCCTCTTCCAGCAAGGTATGTGGGATTAACCCTTCTTCATGCTGGGGCTGTTGTCAGGCTGTTTGCATGCATGGAGTCTGGAGGCGTCTTACCAGGAATGGCTGTTTTCACTCCTAGCTAAGCTAATGGGGCCATCTCTGTTTCTTGGATTCATCCCAACCCCTGGAAGGTGGGTACCTTCCCTGCAGGGTAGCAGAAACAGGAATCCCATGGGTGATACTCTGTACTGCCGTGACAGCCCCGCTTCTGCAGCAGGGCTGGGCATTGTGTGCTGCAGGGGTTGAGCCGGAGCTCCAGGCCTCCTTGGCAGGGAGGCTGTGCTTCCCAGGAGATCTCGGGGCTCCTTCGGGGGCCAGTGCTGTTTGTAGTGGCCAGGAATCAAGCCCTTGCACGAGCAGGAGGATGTGTGTGTGGACATCTGGGAAATGACCTTTTCAGAGTCACTGCTGTGATGCTGAGGATGCTGGTGTCCTCCCCCAAGGCAGGGTCTCTCTTCAGCTCACTGCCCACCCTACAGAAAGAAAATGGGGGTTAGGACAGGCCTCTCTGCACCACGGCTCCCCTCAGCCTCTTGGTGACTTGCCCTGTGACAGGGAAAAATGTATGTTGGAGCTGCTGGCTCTGATCCTTCGGCACCTCCATATGCAGTCCCCAAGGAGTCTTGTCTTTTGCTTACATCTGGGTGCTGGGTGGGGTGATGCTGTCCCCCTGTACAAGGCTAAGAGCTCTCTAGGGAGGTTGGGGAGGTGTGAGGACCCCTGCTTCATCCTCACACCATGGTCCGAGCAAACCCCACTGCACTGAGGTGTCACTGGGGCCAGTGTCAAGCAAGCTGGGCTTACCTGGAGATCAGGTCCCTGCTTCTGCCAGTGGCATGTGGATGTGTCTACACGGAGATCCTTCTGGCTCGGTGCCTGGGGAGGCGGCGATGCCTCCGTACAGGAGCAGGCATGTCTGCAGGAGGAGAAAGGGGAAAGGAGAGAGCCTGAGCTGTGCCAATGCTTGGACGCAAGCTTTGCTCCCGCAAGCGGCCATGCATCTCACTCTGTGCCCAGGACTGTGTGCTCCCATCCACCCCATGGGTCCCTTTCGGTGGGTGGCCAGCCCTGAGCAGGGTGAGCCCCTTTTGCTGAGCCCACGGGCAGCAGGAGATGGGGGGATGCCTGAGCCCATCGGGGCCAAGATGTGTCTGTGCACAGTGGGATGCCAAGGTAGGGTGAGTGGTGCTGGCATGGAGATCTCTGGGCACTGAACTGCTCTCTCCCAGGAGGATGCTGGAGGATACCTCCAGGAGGATCCTGGACACAGGGTCTTGGAGAACATCTGGGAACAGGGTGGGAGGGTGTCTGTGCCAGGGGCTCCTGAGCAGCTGGTGCTGGTGACAAGCATGTGCACGCCTGAGCCCGGCTGGGCCTGTCAAGCGTTTGCTGAGGTGTTGTCGTTCACTTGCAGTTATCTTCCAGGACCAAACAGTGCTCTGAAGACACCCGCTCAGTCCCCACAGTGCAAAAAGCTCTAATTCTCCTTGTGGAGATGGTGCCCAGCTAGCCCCTGCTCCTCCTTCTCTTCCTCCCCAAGGACACGAAGATCTCCTCCTTGGCTCTGCAGCACCCAGGTGCTAGCTAGAGGCCCTGGGGCTTCAGACCCTTTCCTTTGCAGTTTCTTTCTGTTCTTGGGTTCTCCAAGTTTCATGATTTTTTGTATGTTTTGTTTCTTTAACTTGCTTCAAGCTGCTCATGTTGCCCATCCCCTTCCCCACACACCCCTCCTCCCTTACACTCCTGTTTTCACTTGTAAATTCTTTCTGTATCACATAACTATATGATGTTGAGTTGCTGTTTGTATGATTTTTCTCTTAAGTTACATCTTTATTATATTTTAGGGCCCAGGGATCATCCTGATATTGTTGATTCATTTATGCAACTCCTGGCACAGGTGTGTTTTAGTTTCTTATTCATTCACTTTCTGTTCTCTCTCTTTCTCTTTTTAATTCAATTTAAACCTATTTTTAGCTTTCTGTTGACAACGTTTTTTTTCCTTTTAGTTGAATATCGAGTTTCTCCATCTGTTTCCGTGGAAGTTGAAAACAAAACATTCTCCTTTAGTTCTGGTTCCGCCCCATCCCCAGGGCAGTGCCCTCCTCTGCAGGGCAGCCTCCAGCTGCCACCCCCTTGCCTTGCCAAAGCCTGTGTGGGGTGCTTGGGGCTGATGCCTTGGTCACACTTCGGTAGCAGACAAACTAGAGCATTAAAGTGGATGTTTTCTAGCCCGTTTACCCCCCCTCTGATGGGTCCTCTGGAGCAGGGATGGGCTGAGCTGCCTGCTTTGCCCCTGGTCCAGTGGGAGGAAGCCTATAGCCATGGTAGTAGGCTGCTGCCAGGGTCTGGCTCTGAGCAACGTGCTTGTGATGGCATGTGGACCTGCCAGGGTGCCACACTGCCTCCACCCTGACAGCCTCTTGGGGTGGTGGCAGCTCCTGTGTTGCTGGCTCGGTGATGCACGGGCATGGTTTGCGTCGGTGTGGTAGGGGACACAGGCTGGTTCGTGGGGCTGGCACTCCTGTCACTGCTGGTGGTGGGCAGGCAGGGCCATTGCTACGCTTTGTGTTGGGAGCAGTGGGAGCCCAGCGTGCTCCTCAGCCCACTGCTATGCTTGAGGGAGAAGCCCTGATGCGCTCAGTGCCCTATCAGAGACGTGTCCTCTGGCACCTACCCAGAGGGTGGGTTGGTGGTGAGGAGGAGCCCCAGCGAGTCATTTTCTGCTTTGTTTCTGTAATGGTGAGACCTCTAACCACACGTGCTGGCCCAACTGCTGTGCAGGAACACCCACCCAGGCAGCTGCCAGAGCTGTGGCCATCCTGCCCTTGCTGGCAGGCCAGGAAGGGTGCCTGACATGTCCGAATGGTAAGCTGTGAGACCCTTCCAATAGCTGTTTGGTTCATGTGTGGGTCTTGTGGGGTGGAATGGGCAAGGGAGCTGCACTTCACACCCCCCACAGACAAGGTCTGCTCCTCGCAGGTCTCACCCTTCATGCCCAGCCAGATTGGGCTGAGACCCATTGCATCTCACCAGCCATGTTGGAGCATTTTCTTCCCTGCTTTTCAACTTGAAAGATGTAACATAATTGAGGTTATCAGAAAGTGTTTGCAGCTTTTGCCAGTGCCGGGTTTGGAAGCTGTGACCTTTTTACAAGGGTTTTGAATATGATGGGAGGATGGTAAATGAGGTCTGTGCATGAGGTTCATGCAGGTGCCCCCCCCAGCCACTCAGTGCTGGCAGGACCTCCACTTGAGCACTGTGCTCAGTCTGGGGCACAACATTTCTGTAGGTACAGACTAGAGAGCACAGAGAAAAGCATCAGGGAAGATGACCACCTTGTACACATGGTGAGGAGAAGAGGTTGATGAGAGCCTGAGGAGCTGCATGAGTCTCAGAGTGTGTAAAAGGTCATAGCTAAAAACCCTTTTCTGTTCTCCTTGTGTGGGACAAACAGTAACAGGAGGAAATAAGGGAGAAGGATCCAGGTCAGACAGTAGGAGATCTTTCCAAGAGTGTGGGGAAGCAGTGGAAAGTCACTTGGGGAGCTGCTGTCACTTGGAGGACTTGAAAGGACTCAATAAGCCTTGTTGCTTTTGAAGTGCAGGCAGAGGGGATCTTGCCACGGGGTAGAGCATGAGGTGACCTTAAGAGACTCTTCTAAGGGTATTTGTTGTTTCTTTGGAAAGTGCTGATTTTCTCTCTAGCTTGGGGTCCTTCTGTGTCTGGACACGGCACATTTGTGATCTCTTGGAGAGAAAATGCAACTATGCTGCACTTCATAGGGTGTGCTAGGAGAGCAAACACTACCATCTTGGCTGCTGGGAAGCTGTTACACCCTGGACAGGATCTGCAAGCAGTGCTGGGGCTGTGAGCTGGCAGCCTATCTCTAGACAGCCTGCATCCTTCAGAGGTCCTGCTGCATGAGCAGCCCAGAGGCTCCTGCCACTGCGGCTCTTCTATCTTGAATCACTGCAAAATGACTGACATCATGTTGCCAGCCCACCACCACCCAGTCAAGACATGATATTTTCCTGGGCTTTTTATTCCAGCAACCCCAGGGAGGTCAAAGGATCCTATCCCTGTCCTCTGTCTGCACACATAGGACTTGTTTCAAGGTTTCCTCCTCTCCCTTGGTCTTCTCCTCTTCCCAGGCTGATGATCTGGTGGGGTGCTATGAAACCTTCAAGAAACGTCCTTGCCATCCCTGCTTAGGTCCTTGGTCTCAGGACTTCAAGAGGTGTCTGATGGTAGAGGTGGATCCAGACAGTTCTTTTCCAGAAGACTCTGGAAGAGAGTCTCTGCAGTGATGCTGTTGAGCATTTGTAGGTCATACAATTACAGAATAGTTAGGTTTGGAAAGGACTTTAAGATCATCTAGTTCCTACACCCTGCCATGGGCAGGGACACCGCCCACTAAACCATATCACCCAAGGCTCTGTCCAACCTGACCTTGAACACTGCCAGGGATGGAGCATTCACAACTTCCTTGGGCAACCCATTCCAGTGCCTCACCACCCTCACAGTAAAGAACTTCTTCCTTATATCTAATTTGAACTTCCCCTGTGTAAGTTTGAAGCTGTTACCCCTTGTCCTACCGCTACAGTCCCAGACAAAGAGTCCCTCCCCAGCATCCTTGTAGGCCCCCTTCAGACACTGGAAGGCTGCTATGAAGTCTCCACGCAACCTTTTCTTCTCCAGGCTGAACAGCCCCAACTTCCTCAGCCTGTCTTCATACAGGAGGTGCTCCAGCCCTCTTATCATCCTCGTGGCCCTCCTCTGGACTTGCTCCAACAGATCCATGTCCTTTTTTATGTTGAGGACACCAGAACTGTACACAATACTCCAAGTGAGGTCTTACAAGAGCAGAGTAGAGGGGCAGGATCACCTCCTTTGACCTGCTGGTCACTCTTCTTTTGATGCAGCCCAGGATACGGTTGGTTTCTGGGCTCAAGCGCACGCTGAAGCCGGCTCATGTCGAGTTTCTCATCAACCAACACCCCCAGGTCCTTCTCCGCAGGGCTGCTCTGAATCTCTTCTCCACTCAGCCTGTAGCTGTGCCTGGAGTTGCCCCAACCCAGGTGTAGGACCTTGCACTTGGCTTGGTTGATCTAAGGATTAAAGTCAGAGAGAACTTCAGATCTCTTCAGATCTGATTTTGATGTGGTGGTGGCTGTGTTTCATCCCAGCCTGTTCAGCCTGTGGTGCCCTTGGCAAAGGGCCCAAGAATGCACCAAGGTGGAGACTTTCCCACTTCCTTGATCATCTCTGTTCCTGTGGTCGATCACCTTGGTGAAAATGCCATCTTCCCTGTTTCAGATTTGTCTGGTTTCTCCTTGCAGGCAGTGTTTTTGTCTTTCCTTTCTACCAGCAAGTACTCTTCTACCTTGTGATAACTCAGAAGAAGCTCCTAGCACCTGATAGCAGCCTGTCACCAGCTCACAGGGAGCCATCTCTCTGTGTGACAGGATTTCAGCTGACTTTACAGTTTATTTATTTGTGCTTGGTTGCAGCCTGTGGCACTGCCCAGTTGGTGCAGCTGATCATTTTGCCACTATGTTAATTGGCAATCCAGCTTTGACGATTGCTTGCTAATCATGAGAATATGCTTCTTAAACCAAATCTCTTAGAGATGCTGGAGACGCTGGAGTTACTGTTGCTACTCAAAGCTAAGTATAAAATAACCAGCCTGCCTTAAGGCTGCATGGAGCAGTGCCAGCACCCTTTACAGTGAGATCTGTCCTCAGCTGCTCCCCTTCTGCCTCTGCTGTGTGCTGGGAATGGTGCAGAGTATCGCTGCTGCTGTGCCCGAGTGAGCATCCCTCCTGGAGGGCTGCAGGGCTCAGTGCTGCCGGCACAGCTGGAGCACCCATGCCCAGGACCACCCAGCAGGGATGGCTGGGACTGCACCCAGGTCTGCATCAGCACAACTAGGCAGGTTCTGGTGTCTGGGAGCTCTCACCCACTCCCTGGCTAGCGGGTATCACTCATGTGCATGCTCCCGGTTGCAGGCAGGATTTTGGGGCTCTCCAGCCTGCCTCCCCACCAGGCCTGCAGACATATCCACGCAGCCTCAACAGGGCTCCACACTGGCATGGACCTTGGGAGCACTGCGGTGATCTCCACTGAACAGGAGCCCCAGGGCAGACTGGATGAGCAGGGCCTTGCCAGGCAGAAGATGCAGGACTGACCTGTGGTGGTGTAGCCAGCACTATCCCTTGCCTCCCTCCTTTCTTCGGCTGGGTGCAACAGTCCTTGAGCTACCCACCACACCTGCTCCAGCCAGAGTCCTAGAGCCCCATGGAGGACATGGGCTTGGCATCCTCCATCCCCAGTGGGCAGGCACTGACTGCTCCTGTCTGGCCCTGGTGCCCAGCCAAGCTCACAGGCCCTTTCCAGAGATGGAGGCTCTGCTCCACCAGGTGTGTGGTCTGGGAAGAGGTGGTGGTGCTGGACACAAGGGCTTGATCTGTGTGTTCTGGAGAGCTGCAGGAGCTGGCAGTGCAGTCCCCACTGTCCCCTGCCTGCTGGAGGAATGAGTTTCAGTGTCCCTTCTGTGCCTGCCTGCCTCTGAAGAACCAGGCACAGAAGAAGACCCTGCTCTCAAGAACCTGTCTGGGGGTCTCCCAGCTGCCATAGAAAAGAACCCAATGTCCTTTATGTGCCAGCCTGCAGGACAGCCCTCACTGGAGAGCCAATGTCTGCCTCTGCAGCAGCTGCTGCAGCAGAGGGTGTGGGGATACATTTGAAAGCATTTAAAAGACCTGTCCCCATCCCAGAACATGTGAGCAGTGCTGCTATGGCAGGAGGTGGGAAGGCAGTAAAAGGCCCCAGAGCTGGAGCAGGGTTCCTGGTGCTGGGGAAGAGCAGTGGGACCTGACCGGTGCTCCTTGCTAATGGGAGAAGCTGCACAGGGCCCCATCTCACAGGGGTAAACAACATCGCTGTTTAAATTAGGCATGTGCATGTGTGCTCAGATTGGGCTTGCACTCTGCTCTCCCTTGGTGGAGTTGTCTTAGGGGAAGGAGATCTCACAATCCCCCGTGGCACCTGACGGACTGAGGAGCAGATGCTGCAGGGAGTCTGCAGGAGGGCCTGGGGGGCTCTGCCTGCTGCGGGTCTGGTTTGGCTGGGAGAAGCACCCTGCAGGTAGGTATCAACCTGAGCATGTTGGGAGACTTTTGTGCCAGCTGAACAGTCTTGCAGCATGCAGGACTCAGGTTTAACCTGGCCCCGTGGACGGGCAGGGTAGAGGAATCTGCAACTGGGTGGTATCACGGGAGCCAGCTGCCCTCAAGCAGCATGCTGCTGGGGAGAGGCTTGGGGTCACCACTCAGTCTCCCACGGCTAAGACTACACTGTCTTTTGCAAGCATTTGTCTGGTATGGGGCCGACTGGACGGCAGCAGTCATGAGTAGATGTGTTTCTAAACCATTGCCCTGGCACTAGCTAGCCTTCCAATGTTGGCACTAGCGTGTCAGGAGGGATGGTGCACACAATTTGTGTACATATGCACACACAGGTATACGTGGCCCTTGATCCCCTCCCATGAAGGTCTCCACTTGTATCTAGTGTGCCATCTCTGCTTGTACAGCAATGTAGCCGAACCCGAGTCCTCTCTTTCAGCATGTAAAGGGTCAGAAAGGTGATGGGGTAACCCTGAAACCTGTTCCTCAGCTTCTTGGTCTCCAGCATACATTCTCTGCACTGGGCAGATGGTCGTGGGCTTTCCCTGTTGAAGAAGGGGTGGGAAGTAAGTCTGTTTTGTTCCAAGTGGAGACCATGGCTGAGGGCAGGTGGCCGTGCATCCTGGGTGCTGCTGGCTAAAAGCTGTCCCTGCTTTTATGCGGGGGGAGCAGGCTCAGAGGCAGCAGTGGCCTTGCACACAGCTCAGCGCAAGGGCTGCCTGCGTGGTACCCTGCTCTCTGAGCTCCAGGCACAGAGCAGGGCCATTCCACAGTGACAGCAAGGAAGGAGGCATGGCTGCCATCTGCAGTGCTGGCCTGCAACATTGGACACGATGGCATGGTGTCAGGGTATGGTTGTGGCTGCCTTAAATAGCAGGGCTTGCTGTGCCAGGGTGGAAACCCTTCCCATGGAGGGGAAGGGGCAGGCTGAAACATTTCTGTCCAGTAAGCACAGAGCAGGGCCATTCCACAGTGACAGCAAGGAAGGAGGCATGGCTGCCATCTGCAGTGCTGGCCTGCAACATTGGACACGATGGCATGGTGTCAGGGTATGGTTGTGGCTGCCTTAAATAGCAGGGCTTGCTGTGCCAGGGTGGAAACCCTTCCCATGGAGGGGAAGGGGCAGGCTGAAACATTTCTGTCCAGTAACTGTCCAATGGAAAGCCACTGCACAAGGTGCCACAGCTCGGGGTTTCCCCAGCAGCAGCATCTGGCCCCCACAGCACAGGGCTGGTGGGATCACAGAAGAAAGCATTTCTGATCTCAGAGTTGCTGCTCAGGAACCACCAAGCAACGTTGGCATCTGTTTGTCATTTGTGCCCTGGAGCCCAAGCAGAGTGAGCTGCTGGGGTTACCACTTGAACCAGTTGCTGTGACCCCATGGATGCCAGTATCTTCAAGAGGAGAGGAGCAAAGCACACAAGGGGCTGGTGTCTGCTGAGCTCTGCATTGCTGTCTTTGTCCCAGGAGCACTGCCACTGCCTGGTTCTGGTGGGACGGGCACCATGTCCCGTATCTGTGTGAAGTGTTTGTGTATATACTGCCCACTGTGGCATCTATCCTCAGGTCTTGGGGTCGGTGGACCCTAAGTGTAGCAAACTGCCTGGCTGTTTGACACTTAAGAGAGGGTGGGGAGAAGTGATGGTTTCCTGCTGTACTGTGTGACTCTGCCGTTTATCCTGGGTGTGCGCAGGTAAGTGCGTGTCCAGGCAGAGGCTGTCTGGGGCACTGAGTTCCTTGGAGGCTTCCTGGCTGCCTCTGCAGCGCTGGGTTTATGCCGCCTGTCTGTGTACCTTGCAGGCTCTGAAAAGGAAGCCGGACCTCTTCCTGTGTAGCAACCTGGATGTCAAAGCAGTGTTTCAGTGTGGTGAGTACCACCTTCCAAATCACTCTGCAGAGAAGCCAGCCCCACTCCTGCAGAGCTGGGCACAGACCACAGGGCTGATTTGGCATGGTGTGTGGGGTTTCTGGCTGCTAACCTGAGCAATTTCTGCCCACAGGTGTCCTTTCACTCAAGTTCCCTGAGGCCCCAACAGTCAAAGCATCCTGTGGCTTTTTTGTGAGTATCATGGCATCATGTAGCCCCCCGAGAGCTGAGAGGGCAGGAGCAGGGCTGCAGGTTGGGCAAGGGTGCTGTGGTATGGAGCCTGCTGTAGCACTGAGCGGGCTGGGCTCTCTGTTGCAGACGGAGCTGCTGCCCCGCTGTGGAGAGATCGCCCCGGTGGGACAGGTTGTACACGAGAATGGCAAAGTGCTGCTGCAGGCAGTGCTGGAGGTGAGAGACACCAGGACCACAGGCTCCCTGGGAAGATTTAGGCTCTATTCCTGAGCTCTATTCCTATCGTCCTGCGGAGCTGTGGTTGGACAGCCCGGCAGCATGGGTGGGTGCAGACACAGGCTCTGTCTGCTCTGTGGCAGGGTGTCGGTGGCCAGGCTTCCCGCAGCCTCATGGATCACTTCGCAGAAATCCTCTTTGCCTTGAACAAGCACTGCTTCAGCTACCTGAGTGTCTGGATCAAGGAGGCCATGCAGGAGGACGGCTTCCCCTCAGCCCGTGTCAGTCCCGAGCAGAAGGAGACCTTCAGTCAGCAGATCCTCAGGTTTGTATGCCCTCACTGTGGCAGCTGTGCCCCACATGATGTGGTGGGCCTGATCCCCTCTTTGTGGCCTCATGCATCCCCCCTGCTTCATTTTTGTCCCCTCCCTCTGTGTTAGCAGAGAGCGTGTGAACAAGCGGCGAGTGAAGGAGATGGTGAAGGAGTTCACTCTGCTGTGCCGAGGGCTGCATGGTACAGAGTACACAGCAGACTACTGAGCACCTGGCCAGGACCGTGGACAATTTGCCTGGACCAGTTCTTCCCTGCAAGGAAGCCCCCTCATCCTCCCCACCCTGCTGCAGTACGGCTCATAGAATAACCCTCCACCTAGAATTAACCCACTCAGGACGCTCCTCAGCTAGATTTGGTGGCCGCATCTCGGTGTCAGCATCTTTGTTTCCCCCAGCATGCTCCCCCCTCGCAGGGGACAGGAGTGCCGGCTGCAGGAGGTGGCAGCAGGGAGGAGGAAGCCTGGGCAGGACTGCCCCGCACCCGGGCTACCAGCCCTTCCCTGGTACTTCCCTGTGGGTGCCTGTGCCCGCGGCAGGGAGGCTGCCTCTGTGCCCGTGGCAGTGGCTGGCTGGGCAGGTGGGGGTTGCCCCCTGCTCATTTGTACGTGTGTGGTTGGGAGGGGGGAGGCCCTGCACCTAATTATATTAAGAATATTTCTATGTTGTGGTTGTCGTTATTGCCTTTGGGGAGGAGCCCAGTGGAGGGAGGGTATATCAAAGCTGGGGTGCCTCAAAGCCTCCTGCCCCTCCTGGCTAATGGGAATGATGGCAGAAGCAGCCCATCCATGCTCACCATGCTCTCCTGCCTGGCATGGAGTAGAAACAGTCCTGCCCCACATGAAAGGGACCAGACTCCATCCCTGCTGAATGCAGGGTCCTTTCTGCAGCACAGGATGTGTGTGCCCCACACCTGCTCAGATCAGGTGGGGGGATTGCTCGCACTCAGAGCCCACTCCCCCTTGCCTTAGCTCCCCAGCCCAGCTTGTGATCAGGCTTTCATTTCTGGGTGGTCCCACGTCTGGGCTTCTGTTCTCTCGGCCTGGTTTTAGCTGATGCACAGAGCTGTGCTCCCCAAGTAAGCTAGGGGATGACCATGATCTGTGTTTTCGCTCTGGGACACCTGGTATCACTTCTGTGTTCCTCAGCCCATGTTTTATTCTAGAAGGACTCAAAAGTCCTTTTCAGTTCAGGTTCAGTTAGCAGCAGTAATCCACAAAAGCCTCACTCCCTGGTGCTGCCGGCTTATACAGAGCAGTGGCTTTCCCATGTAGGACCAAAGCTGCCCCCTGCACTGGGGAGCCCTTGAGGCTGTGTTTGGGCCAAGCACCTTGCCTGGCCCTTCTGCTGCCCTGACTGTGAGCACCAGGGTGCTGCTGGCATCCCAAAAAACAAAGGCAACTCCTGCTCTCCCACCACGGTTCTAAGACTGAAGGCCACATCCACCACGGGGCCAGATGGTGGCAGGTCCAGACTCTTGTGAGACCCTCATGGGTCTGACACATGGTGGCAGGAGATGCCTGGCCCCCACACGGGCCTTCTCGTGGCTGGCTGTCAATGCTGCTGCTGAATCAGGGCTGCTCACGCCCCTCATCCTCATAGGCAATAGCAATCCCTCGTCGGCCCTGCACAGCCTTGGAAACGGGCGT